AGTTATGTAAACATGACGCTCTGCTCCCTCTGCCCCCTCCCTTCCCTGAGGACATCTGTGGACCTGCTCAGAACTTTGTGGCTGGTTGATGAACATTCCAACGTACCATCAAGGACAATGGCCTCTGGGACAGTGCTTCATGGACTTACTTGCACACACTCACTTGTACACACACACTTGCTCAAACTAAACATATGCACCCCCTCACACCACCTTCACCGTTCCCGGCATGATATGTTTTGTAAACTTGTTGCTTCTTTGTGCTGAGGTTTTTTGCAATCTCAAACTGTATCCTGCTAAGGATAAAGTGTGAAATATGATTTTTTTCCCTCTACTTACCTAATGTGGCCTCTTTTTCATCTATCAAGGGCAGCGCCTGTGAGTGGGCAGCAAAGCCTCGGTGACCCGTCCCCCCTTGTCTTGTGTCATGATGTATGTTTGGATGTGTTGTACTGGAATTCTAATTTCCCCTCGGGGATCATAAAGTATCTTTGAATTTAATTGAATTACCAGAGATTTCACTGTTTAATCAACCGTTTCACTCGAAACGTGCGGAACTTTAACCTTATTTTGACTGACAAATCACAGTTGCACAAAATAAATACAAAACACATTCTCTTTATCTACGTGAAAATGTATTAAACCAATCAGCCTGATACAATCAGCTCTTTGATCCAATGATCTTCACCTACTCAAACATGAAAGTTCTACACAAAAGGGTAAAATATCTAACTAAACAAAATAAAACAAAACAGCAGTGGGTGTGTATGAGATCAAACCAGCAGTTATGGCAGTTATGGCAAAATAAAAGGGGAATATGGTTGAACGAAGCTTTGGGTGCGCCCCTCCCAAAGTGTAGCTCAGTGGGACACGGGCAGTCATAAACCTTCCCCTAGCAAGGTTGTAAAACTCAGCCCACACAAAGGATCATAAACCCTTTTGGCGGCAAACCAGTAAAACATGAAGTTAAAGACAAAGAAAATGGTTGATTTTCACCATAAGGTTATTATAGCAGTCCAGACACACGGCGCACCTGTGCGCAGGTGTTCGCACGGTAAAGACACACTTGCAAGACACGGCGGCCTCCGAAAGTACCAGCAAGTTTCAAAACAATGGCATGCACATACAGTTCAAAACACATTAGACTCTAAATGGCGACTTTAATCGCACTAAAAATCCTACTCTACCCTGCCCACGCTATTCCTAATAAAGAAATAGAAATAAAAAAAAATAAAAGGATGAGTTTTACTTTGTTGAAGTCTTCCTTGTGAGCAGAGGGAGAGAGGAGGAGGGGGAAAGTTGGAAGTTAACGTGCGTCCACAGTTAACTTCGGGAAGAGCGGTCAATCTTCGACCTTTGGCCTCCTTGGAGGAGGAAAAATATGATTTGACCGTCAGCAGTCGACTAGAACCAAGCAAGGAGGGAAAGATGCGTCTCCTTGAAACTCCGTGGTTTTGGTTACATGTTAAACTCATGTCTTCGATTGGCAAAGTGAAATTTCTGGCCTTCTCATTCCAGAAACCTCTTTCATGAATTTTTCGTTGGCCAACGAAGGAGAATAAATGAATAAATGAAGACTCCATGTGGGAGTTCTTCTCCAGAGAGAGATGCTTCAGATGTTGGTCCAGTATCCAACGTGAAAGCAAATGGTGGGTTGTCTCATCCTCTGTTATATAGTTGACGGTGGCCTGAGGGCTGCGACGCCCCGTCTTATCAGCCACATTGTCCGATGGGATTTGTAGTAACAGACTGTCCTGGATACAAAATGGCTGATGACGTTGGAAGGGCATAGTGGCGTCCAGCAACGTGCAAATGGTCCAACATTCAGCAAACAAGTGGTCCAACAGTTGAAATGGCTTAGTCAAAGTCCAGACCTCAATGCAATTGAGAATTTGTGGTTAGACTTGAAGATGGCTGTTCACAAGTCAAAACCATCCATCATGAAGTATCTGGAGCAATTTGTTTTGAGGAATGGGCAAAAATCCCATTGGCAAGATGTGGCAAGCTCATAGAGACTTATCCAAAGACTTGCAGCTGTAATGATCACAAAAGGTGGGGTGACAAAATATTGACTTTAGGGGGGGTGAACAGTTATGCACACTGAGGTTTTCTGTTATTTTGTCCTATTTGTTATTTGCTTCACAATAAAATAAATAAAAATAAATAAATCTACTTTGAACTCCCCAGAGATCTCTGAAAATCTAAGCCAATCTCCAGAGGAAGCACCTTTCAGTTGTTTTTATTTGGGATCTTGTTCTTTTGGACATGATCCATTTATCATAATCATAGGTGAGAGTTGGAATGTAGATGCTCTGGTAAATCCAGAGCTTCCCTTTTTGGTTCAGTTCTTCACCACTATAGGTCATAGCACCACACACATTACTGAGCCCCAGTCCATGTGTCCATCTCTGCCTGATCTCCTGTTCCATCCTACCACCACTCGTGAATAGTACACCAAAATACTTCAACTCCACTTGAGGCAGACACTGACTACCAACCAAAGAGGATGCAGTCCACCTTTTTAAAGTCAAAAACCGTCACTCAGACTTAGAGGAGCTGACTCTCATTCGGGCAGCTTCACACTCAGCTGCAAATTGCTCTGCTGCATGCTGGAGGTTGTGGCCTAAAAAATGGCCAACAGAACCACATAATTGGTCAAATCCTGAGGTTCCCAAACAGATATCCTCCTCTTTATGACGATGCTTTGAGATCCTCTCCATGAACACCTCAAACAAGATAAAGGGCAGCCCTGACAGAGTCCAATGTGCATTGGGAACAGGCTTGAATTTGTGCTGAGAATGAGGACACAGCTGTTGCTTTGGGCATACAAGGTTCAGATAGCCATTTAAAGCCACCCAGATACCCCATATAGCTGCAGCACAAGTATGTAAATAAGCCAAAGTGGTTTTGGGATTCTGTTCTTTTAGGAGAGGGCGGTCTAATCACTGAGCTGAATAGTTATCACAGTACTCAGAAATATTCTCCCTTGTAACAATCCTCATGTGAGGGGACTTTATTCAAAGCGCACAAACAACATCTTCACAACAATTCCAGAAGTCTCCCTCCTGTTCAGTCTTTACGGGGCGGTTTTTATACAGATACAAAGCATTGGTGTGTATTTGGAGAACATGCAAACTCCATGCAGAAAGAGCCCCGGCTGGGAATCGAACCCAGGACCTTCTCGCTGCAAGGCAACAGTGCTACCAACAGCGCCACCGTGCAGTCCCATCTTTATCAATAATTATAATTAAAAATCATAATTTGACAAAATTTATTTCTTAACCAAAATCCTCATTTATGAATCGAGACCAGAGATGTCTTCTGGTGTTGTAATTGTGGCTCAACGCCTCTGATAATTACAACCGTTAAATACTCAGTAATAATTGATAACTATTACCAG